GTGGTCATCTTGGCTACTGGGGCAAAGGTCTCCAAGTAGTCTATACCATAAGTCTGGGTGAACCCCTTTGCGACCAGCCGGGCTTTGTACCTTTCAATAGAGCCATCAGCATTATGCTTCATAGTGAAAACCCATCTACATCCAACCGGTTTCTTTCCTTTGGGTAGGTCAACCAGTGCCCAAGTATTATTCTTCAGCAGGGCATCCATTTCGACTTGAATTGCATCTTTCCATTCTGGAACTGATAAGGCTTCTTGCACTGTTCTTGGAATAGGGACATTGGCAATGGAAGTGAGATAGGACCGGTAAGAGGGAGATAGGCGATCATAGGATAAGAACTGTGAGATGCTGTGAGTTGTAGATGTGGGGCAATGCCATTTCCCTTTGCGGACGGCAATAGGGAGATCAAGGTCATCCATAGGAGGGGAAGTGGCAACAGTGAAAGGTGTCTCAGTAGGCTCTGGATCTGGAGCCGCAGAAGGAACTAGAGCTGGCCGGGACTGCCGATGACTAGGATCAACCTGCCTGCATCGCCTGTGATAGACTCTCAACTCCTGATCCCTCTGACCACCCTCACCACTACAGCCTTCATCACCCAGTGGAATAGGTAAAGGAACAGCCCCACTCCCATTGCGCTCCCCCTAAGGAAAGCGACTCAAAATCCCACTCTCTGCTCTCCCCCTGAGGAGAAACCCTAGGATAATAGGGTGTCCCCTCAAAGAAGGTGACATCCATGGAGACAAACCTTTTCCCTGAAACCGGATCATAGCAGCAATAACCCTTTTGAGTTTGTGCATAACCGAGGAAAATGCATTTGGAGGCCTTAGGTTCAAACTTGGAATGATGARACCCGAGAAGCTGAACGAAACAGGTACAACCAAAGGTTTTAAGGGGAACGATGAACAACTCCTCGTCTGGGTATAAAAGGGAAAAAGGGGTTTTTATATCAAGAACCCGGGAAGGAACCCGATTAATGAGATATACTGCCGTGAGGATAGCATCACCCCAGAAGCAAGTAGGTACATTGGAGGTAAACATAATACTTCTAGCCACCTCCAAGATGTGCCTATTCTTCCTTTCGGCAACTCCGTTCTGCTGCGGTGTATGAGGGCAAGTGCTCTGGTGAATAACTCCATGGCTGAGAAGGTAGGAGGTCAATGGCTTAGCAAAGTATTCATTTGCATTATCAGATCTAAGGACTTTGATTTTGGCCCCAAACTGAGTGAGAATCATCTAATGGAAGTTTTGGGTCATAGCAGGAATCTCATCCCGAGAACGCATAATATAGACCCAAGAAAAACGGGTATGGTCATCAACAAACAGTAGAAAGTATCTGTACCCACCCATAGAAGAGATGTGATATGGCCCCCAAACATCAGTATGCACAATATCAAAAGAAGAATTACTCATTTTATACTCAAAGAATAAGAAGTTCTACAATGTTTGGCAAACTCACAACTCTCACACCTCAATTTTGATAACTCAACAGACTCAAATAAAGCAGGAAACGGACTCTTCAAGGACCTGAAAGACAAATGACCTAATCAATTATGCCAAAGCATAACCGGACTCACAGACTGAGAAACAAAAGACTTGTTATCCACCGACTCCTCCCAACGAGAACTCTCTCCAAGCAGATAGATCTCATTCGTCTCACGGCCAGTCACAATCACCTTCCTCGTCTCCAAGTCCTAAAAAACACATCGGTCAGGGAAAAAGGTTACTGAACAGTTCATATGTTTGGTAATACTATTGACTGAAAGCATGTTAGTATCAAGCTTAGGAACATGCAAGACAGAAGATAAAGAGATAGTATC